TACTTGGTTATGACTTGACCTTGATCTGTCTAGTCTAAATTATGACCTTAACGCGATAGGCTGAGCGGCTTAACCTTGAGTCTGGTACGCGTGAATAAATGAGTGAATATCCTGACCACGATGTACGATAATTTGGAAAAATGCAGTTATGCCCGAAACTGGGAATTAGGGTAGAAAATAAGATGCAAAAGATTATGTTTAAATTACAATGTTTTCGGAACAAAAAAGGGTATGGCAGTGAATGTTACATAGAACGAAAGCCCATGTTATGTACAATAAAATAGGGACAAAAATAAATATAAGTGTTTTACAAGGTTTGAATTAAATGAGATAATGTCCCAAGAAAATAGCTTTCGTAGTTGTCTGGGCTTCTTATTTCCCTGTTCACAACACCTTCTTGTCTATTTTTTATCAGCTTTCTATGTTCATGTCCACTGTGTTGACTTAGCACTCCTTTTATTTTATCACGTATTGCCTTTACTCAAAATATCGCATTCTTTGACTTTTCCGCCTACTCCGGTAGTCATCTACACTTTATTATACACTTCTTGATACTCATTCTTTGATTGGCAACCAATACTCTATACCATATTCATTTAAAATGTTGCGTCGATGCCTCACCCACGGTCCATAGTTCGTTACTACTCGGTAAGCTTGTAAACTGGTGCCTGTAGAATTGGTGTTTTCCAACAGCACGTGAAACACAGAGCATCGTGGAATAGCTTTGTTTGTTTTCACAGATGTTCTATGTGTTTTTCACAACTAGTTGTCAAGTTCCAATGTGTTTTTAAAGGTAGTACTTTGTTTCAGACTGAAAACAAAGTTTTTAATTGATAATAAACGTAGTGCAAATGTTGTGAAAAAATCTACCACTCTTTTGATGCTTCATTACATCTATTGAGAGGGCAATCAGTTGTAGTATCCTGAAATTCTCAGAAAGCTTTACAAAGAAACTTATTTGTAAAGACGAGTCAATTCTTTTTAAGTGCTTTTAGCCAAGTTTTACAAAATGGTTTTCCGAACGTTATAGTCACCACATTGCTTTGACGTAGATCATTTATGCATCTTACCCTACCTGTGTGATCATTTCTAAGGTAATAGGAAGAAGAATAAACAACCACGGTCAAATAAATGCAGAATGTGATTCTGTTTTTGTTATCGAGTGCTAAATGCCTGTAGTAAACTACTGAACTAGTGGTATCAGCTCCATCAGTGAACACCTTCACGGAGAGGATCTTTGCTGGCAAACAAGCTGGAAGGATTAGTATAGGTCTACTGATCAACTATTTTTATTGCTGAGGACTGAGGACTAGGAACTTTCATCTATAATTTTAAGACAACGCCATGAGGAACATTACCTAAAAAAGGAAGCGGAAATTCATATAAACATTTTTATAGACTTTTTGAGCTGGAAAATAGATAAAGACAATAACTGTGCATTGGCGTTATCTTTAGATCACTTCACAAAAGTAGACCGATTTTGTTTTATTAGTTACTGTTGTAACGTTACAGACGCTAGAACGATTTTGATTGAAGTTAAGGTCGTTGAGCATGTACTTCTTACAGTTGTTCCTGCTTCTATTTACTTCTGTTTCCAACACGCTATCTTATTTATCATCAACTGACCTGGTTGATATAAAAGCACATGACTATAGGCTTTTGACGAAGATACTCGCTGCAAGACAATTACAAGACCTGTTTGATAACGATAAAAACACACATGGGCTTTTCCATGCTCAGTTAAATCAAAAGGTTTATCTGATCGTCGATCTTCGCGGATTATATCAAGTCAGTTCAGTGGAGATCACTTGTAAGTCATAAGGCTTTCATTGACTTTATTATCAGTTAGTACCTACAGTACTGGTGAATCTAAGTTCTTCCGGTCTCCCGATTTTGGGGAAATTTTATCCGTTTTGAGGGGATTGAGGGAAATCTGCTTTCGAAAATTTTGGAGAAGTGTCACAAAACCCCCAAAATTTGGGGAAATTTTGTGGAAGACCATTGGACTTTGGTGAAAACCCAAAGTTTTATCAAAATAGGGAGATTGGGCCACTATTCTTTTTAGGCAGAAAATGGAATGGTTTGATGTTAACTTGGAGCCATTGTAATTATTTTTTTCTCTGTAATAGATTTGCACTTGGAATCTTATATATATATATTTATATATATGTATACGTTAGGTTTGTGCTGTTGTCGTTCAGAAGAACGACGAAGGCTCCGCGATCAAACCACCTATCTCAGAAAACAAAACCCCATCAAAATATATACGTAATCTTTGGTGTATTTTACAATACTATCGAAAAAATATATTTTCGAGAAAATATTTTGTCTAATGAGACGGAAGTTGTCGCTCATTCTAGAGTACCTGCTCGAACTCCGACCACGCTCTAATACGGGCACGCATTTGCTGGCGCCTCACTGGACGCAAAAATGCCACACTAAAAACACCCATTAGAACTAAATTGAGTAACGAGAAAACCAAAAGTAAGTTCCAGGAACAACTGAGGTCACACTTAGGTAGTTCTGAAAACGAGGTTGACCCAGATGTTGCTTGGAAAGCAATACAAGCAGCTGTGGAAACAGCAGTGACATATATCAGTGATTTAAACCACAGGGTTACAAAGAACCAGTGGATTTCTTCAAGGTCTATTGCACTGACGGATTCTCGTAAACTCATCCAATCAGGTTCAGAACACGATGAAGAGCGTAAAGAAATCAGATCTAGGTTAAGCAAAAGTCTAAGGAACGACCGTGAGCAGTGGTGGGCAACGAAAGCAAAAGAGATGAAAAAGGCGGCGGCTGTAAGGAACACAAGACAGCTCTACAGACTAATAAAAGAAACTGGAATTAATAAATCAAGTGTAAGTCAGACTATTTCAGAAAAAGACGACACTCTTATCTGCTCCCAGTCCAGACGTTGAGAACGATGGGTGGAACATTTCAGAGAACAGTTCAGCTGGCCTTCAGATACTCTACAACGGCCCTCCATTCCCAGACAGTGTGAATGGGACATTGAAGTAGGTCCCCCAACTCTAGCAGAAGTTCAAAAGGCTATAGCTAATCTGAAACGAGAAAGGGCAGCTGGTCCAGATGGATTGGCGCCAGAGGTTTATAAGGATGATGGTCCAGTTTTAGCGATTAGGTTGACTAGTATTTTAGCTAAGATTTGGGAGTTAGACGTTATTCCATCGACTGGTCACAATCACTTATCGTCCCAATATGTAAGAGAGGGTTAAAATCATCCTGTGACAACCATAGAGGGATTAGTTTAACTAATATAGTATATAAAATACTAGCCTGGATAATCATCGGACGCCTAACTAAGACTCGTGAACTGCAAACACGAGAGAATCAAGCTGGCTTCAGACCTGGTTGTGGCTGCATCGACCACATATTCACCATTCGTCAGGTTCTAGAACATAGGCATAATTATCGACGTCCGACAATGGTGGTCATTCTCGACTTAGAAGCAGCATTTGACTCGGTAAACTGTGAGATTCTGTGGCAGTGTCTGTCATTAAAAGGCGTACCTCAGAAGTACCTAAACCTTGTGAAGGCTCTTTACTCGAACACTACCAGTCGAGTCAAAGCTTATGGCGAACTGTCATCTGCTTTTGCAACCTCAAGTGGTGTCCGTCAAGGTTGTCCACTTTCTCCATTTTTGTTTAACTTCATCATAGACCTATTGATGGAAATAACAGTCGCGTCGACTGAATTCTCGGGTATTGATCTCCTTCCAGGAGGTCCACTTATCGACTTAGAATACGCAGATGACATAGTCCTGTTTGGTGAAGACGCTGATAAAATGCAGTCTTTTGGTAGCACTAAGCAACAATGCCAGAATGTTTGGAATGCGCTTCTCTCCCTCTAAATGCAAGCTGCTGCTTCAAGACTGGTCTGCATCAACACCTGAACTAAGGATAGGGAGTGAAGTAGTCGAACGCGTTGACAACTTCACTTATCTTGGAAGTCTGATCAGCCCTAATGGGTTGGTGTCTGATGAAATCTCAGCACGGATTCGAAAAGCTCGTTTGGCTTTTGCCAACTTACGTCACCTATGGCGAAAGCGAGATATCCGTCTATCAATAAAAGGACGAGTATACTGCGCGGCAGTTCGTTCTGTTTTAATTTACGGCAGCGAAACATGGCCATTAAGAGTAGAAGACACCCGTAAGCTACTAGTATTTGACCACAGATGCCTTAGAAATATTGCTGGCGTCTGCTGGGATCACCGGGTAAGTAATAGTGAGGTTAGACGCAGGGTATTAGGGAATGATGGTAAATCAGTTGATGAGGTTGTGAATCTTCATCGACTTAGATGGTTTGGCCACGTGTTACGTATGCCCGAACACCGATTACCACGACGTGCAATGCTAACCGGTGTTCGGGATGGTTGGAAGAAAGTTAGGGGTGGCCAAACCAAAACATGGCATCAGTGCGTGAAGTCACTAACTTCTAGTCTGAGCCATGTTGGTAGATGCAGACTACTTGGTTGGGGTCCGCGTGACTATCGTAACCAATGGTTGGAGACTCTTGGTGACATGGCTCAGAATCGATCACAATGGCGTCGGTGTATACACTCCCTGTCTTCCCTTAAACTAAGAGATTAAAATCACTTCATATCTTTCTTTCTACTAACTAATTATTTCTTCCTGTACTATATCCTTATTGCAATCTTTCTTTTATATATTACCGCCTCTGAATTAACTACTTTTATGAATCCGGTGTCCATCTTTTTGTGTTAATGCGGTATGGCAACTTGGACTGATGCATATATGTGTCTGATCCTACGTTGTAGTTGACTGAATGACTGACTGAATAAGACGGAAGTGAGTTATAGATAAGTTTTACTTGATGTCCGATAACGTTATAGTTCCTTGGGGACATCCTGTCTGAGGGTGAATAAAAAGAATGTGGACGTTAAGCGTCCAAATTACTACCCCATCATTTGACTTAGTGCTGGTAAACCACTCTCACTTTTTCAAATATATACGTAATTATGACACTGTATTATGATTATGATTTCAAATAATAAACCCGAGGTCGTATACGTAGTGTGTGATAAAAGAATTTTGTGTTTCATTTACAACGTAAAACCTACTTACGTTTTTCTGTAGATACGGTATTTGAGTGTGTTGATTCGTCTTTTATTTCTATTCAAATGGAATTAAGTGAAAGGCCTACTTTGTATTTCACCTCAATTGATAGGTGTTATACGTTTTTACAGATCTTTGTACAACTAAAAGCTTCTCGAAAGTAGTCTTCTCTGGTTATGTATGAATCCCATGTGACTGATCCATATAGTCCTCAAGATTTGTAGTATAAATAAAATCCAATATCCCTTCCAGTGTTTCACTAGTACTTACTAACTCAATCTCTTTCGATTTAAGGTCCTATTTCTTCTCAATACAAACTACAAAACTTTAAACGTAAACTAGTTGATCATGATTTTTAAACAGATAACATCCTCTCAAATGATCCGTTTTAGTCAGGAGAAATAAAAACGATGTCTGAATGTTAAAATCATCATTTGGTAAGCAGCAAGATAATGCTAACTCACAGCCCACAGAAATATACCAAAAATGGACTAAGGTGTTTAAAACTATTTTTTACATACTTTTCTTGGTCTTTGGATCATTACGTAGTGTAGTTGCTGATCAGGTTTGTTATTTAGACCTAATTAATCACAAAATGCATTGTGGATCTAGACAGTGGATAAAACAAGTTTACTAACTTGAGATACGTTTAACGGTAAACTGTTTATATATGAAAGTTAGAGTTAAAGCAATCCTTCTCATGAGAAATCATATTAATAACTTAATTTTAGTATCAAGTAGCGCAATATCTAATGAACTGTTTAAACATCTCTGCTGGATTTTCACTGAAATTAGATTAATGAGTTTTCATAATTGAGTTCTTACAAAGTCCTTCACTATAGTAGCCTTGTAAACAAAGTTTCTGAAAAACTGTTTACGACGTGATTGCTTACACCTAAGATATTTCGAAAATACGTGGACTCTTCTTAAATTGATGTAAAATTGACTTTTAGGTAATTAACCTGGTTTACTGCAAAACTCTGAATCGTTGAGCTGTTCTAGGTGTGATTGTCAGTACTCTCATCAAAGTGTGCTTCTGAAAGTATTATAAACTTGAAAATTCTGTAAATTTTATTTGATCAGCATTTGTTGGGATGAAAGACTTGATTAAATTTGTCAGTTTCTAGTATTTGAATTTTTTAGTAGAAAAGTGTTTGTATCCAGTTTCGTGCGTAGGTAAATAAGTTATCTTCAGCCTATGTTCTTTCACACCTGATATCTTTGACTTCAAATGGAAGTGGGACATTTATCTGAAGGACAAATGTAATCAAGCACAAAATTCATTCTATTGGTGTTTTAAAACTTTATATACAAACATTTTCTCTGCCTTAAATATCTCTAAATTACTGAAAAGTAGCATGACGTGTTTTTTATGTGGTTCGCTTTCCTCACAAGTTATAAGCTAGCTTTCTTGGATAGTACAAATAACACAAAAAGGAGCTTAAAGTCAGCATTAGTATTTAGTGTAACGAAAGAGTATGTAGCGTATATTCATTTGAAAACGTCTAGTTTATTTAGATTACTTCTATGCTTTTAGATCACAACTAGCCCTTAGCAATATGTTTGTTCCATGTAAAAAATTACAGACTTCAAGCATTTTATTTCAACCAACAGATGAACTTTCAACCACGAAACCTATCAACAAACACCTATCAAAGGCACATTATGAACAGCTATTTGCACTGTAGCTAGTTTACTTCAGATAGTTTGATTGGTATTATGAATAACTTAAATATTGCAAATTTATTCTCCCATTTGATCAAGCTTTTTTTAATATGTAAGAAACATTAAACATTCATTACTTTGTGTTTTTCCTCATAGAAATATGTATTTCTACTGATTGTTATCCGAAGAGCTGCCACTATTGATATGACGATTGAAGCTTATGGGGTATTTAGAGATTTTATTGTTTTACAATCAGGTGATAAAAATTATATACTAGTTTTTATTTGTACTGACCATTTGAACGATGATAATAAGTTTCAAAATTTCGTGTTTGTAACAGCTGATCAACCTGAAAATCTTAAACAAACTATAAGCGTTGGTTATGGATTCGATAAAAACACAACAAGTTTATTTGGATCTTTGTACAATTGTACATATCAACAAACGTCTACTCTGTGCATACCTGCTTGTAGCGAATATGACAATTCACGGGCCGGTTTTGTTGGCAATAGTTTGCTATGGAGTTTTCAGTCAGACAAAGAGGGATGGACTAGGATTTATGATTTGATCATACGCGGTACTCCATTCGATGAAAAACGTAACATGAAGAATAATCTTGGTACGTTGCACTGTATATGGTTGTATTTGTATCGTACTACATTTTGCTTAGTTTTATTGTTAAATTTTAAAACATTAATCCAGTTTGTGTGTTTGTCTCAGGAACTTAGTTACTATCATTTTGTTCACCCATGTTAAATTCTCGTAGTTTTATTCCACATATGTATCCCATAACTATATGAATGCGGATATTTTGAGAAGCCCCGACCGTTGTTGCCACCTTGACGTGGTGGTTGGGCTTGCTTATTGTGATGAAGCAACCGAACTATACTGGCTGGAACAACCGTTCCTCAAGGTCCTACCATGTCAGACAGGTCGGTTGAAGAGCGGTAAGACTAAAAGCAACAAACCAAAGGTCCGAAGGCGAAGTTGGACTGCTGACTGTATAGAGGTGTGACAGCAGTAAGGTGTTTCCTTCAGACAACCAGCATGAAAACGATGCTGCCTTCCCACAAGGAGGGGTGGGGTTAGAAAAGGTCGGCCCTAAAAATGCACACCTCGCCTTATCCCACGGATATCCGTCTCCGGCGGTAAGGTCTCAACAATTACGGAGCTGACATAAAAATTACCCATAAAAAAGTCGTGTGTGACCGACCTCAAGCAGTTGTCCCTTGGGCACTGCGGTCACGCTCCCAGGTCACTAAGACCACCTCTAATCCGATTTCCTTTTCAGGTACCTCCAGAAGAACCCTTCCACGGTGTGGGCAACCGGGAAGTGATAACCGCCCTCATACCTCTAACAGCACTCAAGACCACTGTATTCATAATCAACCTCCTCTTCACTTCCTATTATTCCTCCTACATCGACTTTCGCCTCTAAACTTCCTTTTCGGCTTCCCCTCAAGTGTCACCATAGCCAACGATTCTAGTGCTCAAAACATTGTCCCAGGTCTACTGAAACCTCGCTCCAAACTACACATTGGAGCCTTCAACGTACGCACCCTATGTCAAATCGGTCAACAGGCTTCCTTGGCTAGAACCCTAGAATCTCGTACCATTGATGTATGCTGTGTCTCTGAAACACGCATACAGGATCCCAGTGTGGTCATTCACTTGACCTCACCTCGGCAAAACGGAGAGCCAACGAGATACACCCTCCGTGTATCTGGTGACCCGACGGCAGTTCTCGTGGACTGGCAGGTGTAGGCATAGCACTAAGCATGAGGGCAGAACAAGCACTGCTAGAGTGGATCCCCGTCAACAGTCGTTTATGTGCTGTTCGGCTCCGTAAGAACTCGGAAGGATAGGGACACACGTCGTTGCCTTTTTGTCGTTTCTGCCTACGCTCCCACTGACTGCAGCTCAGATGAAGTGAAAGATGAATTTTACAGAAAGCTGTCTGAACTTCTTCAGAAAGCTAAACGCTCAGACATAGTACTCGTAGCAGGTGACTTTAATGCTCAGATAGGTAGTTTAAACCAAACAGAAAGGCATTTAGGTGGGTATTTTAGTATTCCGGTACAACGAACAGATAATGGTGATCGTCTGCTGCAACTGTGCTCAGACAATCGTTTATTTTTAGCAAACACAAATTTTAAGCATAAGGAGAGACATCGTCTAACATGGCGACCCCCTACACCAAACCAACGATGGACTCAAATAGACCATATTGCCATCAGTCATCGTTGGAGAGGGTCGGTAGAAGATTGTCGCTCATTCTGGAGTACCTGCTTGGACTCCGACCACGCCCTAATACGGGCACGCATCTGCTTGCGCCTCACTGGACGCAAAAAAGCCACACTAAAAACACCCATTAGAACTGAATTGAGTAACGAGAAAACCAAAAGTAGGTTCCAGGAACAACTGAGGTCACACTTAGGTAGTTCTGAAAACGAGGTTGACCCAGATGTTGCTTGGAAAGCATACAAGCAGCTGTGGAAACAGCAGTGACATATATCAGTGATTTAAACCACAGGGTTACAAAGAACCAGTGGATTTCTTCAAGGTCTATTGCACTGATGGATTCTCGTAAACTCATCCAATCAGGTTCAGAACACGATGAAGAGCGTAAAGAAATCAGATCTAGGTTAAGCAAAAGTCTAAGGAACGACCGTGAGCAGTGGTGGGCAACGAAAGCAAAAGAGATGGAAAAGGCGGCGGCTATAGGGAACACAAGACAGCTCTACAGACTAATAAAAGAAACTGGAATTAATAAGTCAAGTGTAAGTCAGACTATTTCGGAAAAAGACGACACTCTTATCTGCTCCCAGTCCAGACGTTTAGAACGATGGGTGGAACATTTCAGAGAACAGTTCAGCTGGCCTTCAGCTACTCTACAACGGCCCTCCATTCCCAGACAGTGTGAATGGAACATTGAAGTAGGTCCCCCAACTCTAGCAGAAGTTCAAAAGGCTATAGTTAATCTGAAACGAGGAAGGGCAGCTGGTCCAGATGGATTGGCTCCAGAGGTTTTTAAGGATGGTGGTCCAATTTTAGCGATTAGGTTGACTAATATTTTAGCTAAGATCTGGGAGTTAGACGTTATTCCATCTGACTGGTCACAATCACTTATCGTCCCAATATATAAGAGAGGGTTAAAATCATCCTGTGACAACCATAGAGGGATTAGTTTAACTAATATAGTATCTAAAATACTAGCCTCGATAATTATCGGACGCCTAACTAAGACTCGTGAACTGCAAACACGAGAGAATCAAGCTGGCTTCAGACCTGGTCGTGGCTGCATCGACCACATATTCACCATTCGTCAGGTTCTAGAACATAGGCATACTTATCGGCGTCCGACAATGGTGGTCTTTCTCGACTTAAAAGCAGCATTTGACTCGGTAGACCGCGAGATTCTGTGGCAGTGTCTGTCATTGAAAGGCGTACCTCAGAAGTACATAAACCTTGTGAAGGCTCTTTACTCGAACACTACTAGTCGAGTCAGAGCTTATGGCGAACTGTCATCTGCTTTTGCAACCTCAAGTGGTGTCCGTCAAGGCTGTCCACTTTCTCCATTTTTGTTTAACTTCATCATAGACCTATTGATGGAAATAACAGTCTCGTCGACTGAATTCTCGGGTATTGATCTCCTTCCAGGAGGTCCACTTATCGACTTAGAATACGCAGATGACATAGTCCTGTTTGGTGAAGACGCTGATAAAATGCAGTCTTTTGGTAGCACTAAGCAACAATGCCAGAATGTTTGGAATGCGCTTCTCTCCCTCTAAATGCAAGTTGTTGCTTCAGGACTGGTCTGCGTCAACACCTGAACTAAGGATAGGGAGTGAAGTAGTCGAACGCGTTGACAACTTCACTTATCTTGGAAGTCTGATCAGCCCTAATGGGTTGGTGTCTGACGAAATCTCAGCACGGATTCGAAAAGCTCGTTTGGCTTTTGCCAACTTACGTCACCTATGGCGAAAGCGAGATATCCGTCTATCAATAAAAGGACGAGTATACTGCGCGGCAGTTCGTTCTGTTTTAATTTACGGCAGCGAAACATGGCCATTAAGAGTAGAAGACACCGTAAGCTACTAGTATTTGACCACAGATGCCTTAGAAATATTGCTGGCGTCTGCTGGGATCACCGGGTAAGTAATAGTGAGGTTAGACGCAGGGTATTAGGGAATGATGGTAAATCAGTTGATGAGGTTGTGAATCTTCATCGACTGAGATGGTTGGGCCACGTGTTACGTATGCCCGAACACCGATTACCACGACGTGCAATGCTAACCGGTGTTCGGGATGGTTGGAAGAAAGTTAGGGGTGGCCAAACCAAAACGTGGCATCAGTGCTGAAGTCACTAACTTCTAGTCTGAGCCATGTTGGTAGATGCAGACTACTTGGTTGGGGTCCACGTGACTATCGTAACCAATGGTTGGAGACTCTTGGTGACATGGCTCAGAATCGATCACAATGGCGTCGGTGTATACACTCCCTGTCTCCCCTTAAACTAAGAGATTAAAATCACTTCATATCTTTCTTTCTACTAACTAATTATTTCTTCCTGTACTATATCCTTATTGCAATCTTTCTTTTATATATTACCGCCTCTGAATTAACTACTTTTATGAATCCGGTGTCCATCTTTTTGTGTTAATGCGGTATGGCAACTTGGACTGATGCATATATGTGTCTGATCCTACGTTGTAGTTGACTGACTGACTGATTTTTAGAAGCCGCATATTAAGCTTTACTTACTTTCATACTTAGTTTAAATTGTTTGAGTGCTGTAAATTATTGAGGAATCAAACGAATGGCTCTGTACTAAATACCATTTCTGAATAAAAGTGCTTGATCTGTTCCATGAAACATTACTATAAATTTGTGCATTATTAAGAACAAATACTGCCCTAGAATCTTTTTTTGAAAGAAAATTTATTACTCTTAGTGTTTGTTGTATGTTATGTTAAAATGTATCATTGTTTAAGTGTGATGAAGAGAAAACGACTTTCTATGTTTTTCAGTAGTAGACATTTAGTTTAAACTGAAATGCTTGATTGAGCTGTGCTAGACCTCATTACCGACATAATAGGAAAAATTCACAGTTCGTGTAAATATATTTTTTGTGGTATTGTTTTCACTGAGTGAAGGTGTTTCATTGTAAACGTCCAGGTTGGACAACCTTCAACATTGTGTTTTTAAAAGAAAGTGAAGTTTAAGATCTCTTTTCAAGTGTATACTTGTTTTGTTTTAATGAACTTACCTATTTACTTACACCTGTTACCCCTCTTGGAGGAACATAGGTTGTCCACTAGCACTCTCCATTCAACTCTATCCTGAGCATTTCTTTCCAGTTGTTATACATTCTCTGCATGTCTGCTTCCAATTTTCGGTGCGGTGTGGTTTGCGTCTTCCTCCTTTCCGTTTCCCTTCAAGGTTCCAACTTGGAGTTTGCCTCATGATGTAGTTTGTTGATTTCCTCAATGCACGTCCTATCCACTCCCAACTTTTTTTTCCTAATTTCCTCCTCAGCTGGAAGCTGGTTTGTCCTCTCCCACAGTAGGCTGTTGCTGATGGTATCCGGCCAATGGATGTTGAGTAGACAATTGTTTA